GTTTTGACAGAAGCCCTATTGTAGGTTGTGTCAGCATTGGCTGCTTCCAGAACCTCTTTTAAAACTCATAAATATTTGGCCTGGATTATGTGGATCTGATTTAGCATTTATCTTGACATGATTACCAAAAATTATATGTTATATACTTACAAGCTGCTGGTCATGTTTTGCCTTGAATACAATAAGACAAATCAAGGGAGTCACCATGACACACAGGGCAGGTGTGACCACAGTAAATCGTCAACAGATGCAGCGACTAGACTTGTCATATGTCCTGCTGAGAAGAATAAAATAGACACGTGCATAATATTCACTCATGATAGAATTCTGGAAGAATAATTGTTTGGAGGATTTCAATCCGTTTCAGATTTGACTGTGTCACTATGATCACTATATGTATGTCTTATCTCACTAGATCACCTGAAGCATATTAGAAAAGTAAAAAATGCTAAAATTATTTACTTGATTATTGTATTTTTTTGTGATTACTTACTATTCTAGAAGTTTCGATCAACTTACTGCTTTCAGGAACAGAAAGCAATGTGAATCTTAAAGGTTGTATCAGCGATTTCAGGCCCAAACATAAATTATCACATTCATCTAATCTTACCTAACGATCCGCTAGCTGCCCGCCCCATAAACAGGCTGTCAAAAAAACGCGTCTCTGTAGGCAGCCTAGGCTCTGAGATCTGCACACAAAAACAAATGGGTACAACCACCACTCAAAACCAAAATAAACAGTGTTCCAATCAATCACCGACAGGGGTGGGTTTTGTTTGTTTTTGCGCTCGTGCACGGCGCCTGCACGCGAAGTCAGAGCTGAAGAAGAAGCCAGCGCGTCTATCAACGGACCAGATACAGTGAACATGGAAGAGGCAATCCCCAAGAAGAGAAGGAGGATTAGGGCAAGGGAAAACCGTCGTTATTCGTTAAAGAACCGAATAATAATTGGGAAGGCTTTTGAACGGTGGAGAGAGCTTAAAGATTTGAAAAATTTTAAATCGGACGCTGAGGTTGCACTGTTTCTTCTGGACAGGTGAGTAGCTTCTAGTGCTGACTTTTTCAGATGTGAACTGTGTGTGAAAATATCCTTCTTTAAAAAATATGAGTGAAGCTCGACTAAACTTAGGATAGCTCTAGCGAATGCACGAAACGGGAGGGAGGGGCGAGCTAACTTGGTTTGTTTGGGATCTCGCTTCAAACACAAACAGAAGTGACGTCACCCACAATCGCTGATACAACCTTTAATGCAACATTTATGAAACAAAAATGGTTTTGTGGTTCAGTCCCAATTACACTCTTCCCAGGATGCATGGGGGATGCATAGATGCCTAATTAATTTGTTATAGTTTTGTTTACAAAACTGTTTACTGTTGATTTTGGTAAAAAAAAAAAAGGTAAATGGACTGCATTTATATAGCGCTTTCACAGACCCAATGGGCACCAAAGCGCTTTACAATTTGCCTCACATTCACTCACTCATTCATACACCGACGGCGGTGTCAGCCATACAAGGCGCCATCCAGCTCGTCGGGAGCAGCTGGGGTTAGGTGTCTTGCTCATGGACACCTCGACACTTGGTCAGGTGGAACCGGGGATTGAACCACCAACCTTCCGGTTTGTAGACAACCTACATGAACCACTGAGCCACATATAGTAACTTTTTGACTTGTTATGTCATAATGTGTTTTTTTATTCTTCTCAAAATTATTGGTCTGTTGATGGTTACCTTTGTCATGTTTCATGTACCAAGTGTGCGTTCCACTTCGCTTTTATACATACACTCGTGAACTTCCCTAAGCACTTCCCCTCGGGGAATCATCGCCGCCATTTTGAAGTGAGTTCCATTTTGTCAAGTGGGTGAGGGAAGTTTATGTGGATAGGCCCTCATCCCCTCGATTATGGCAGAGGGAGCGAGTCTACTCGTCTACTCCGATGTACACTTCAAGCAGCTCTATGTCCCACAATTCAACTTGATTGTGACGTCACAAGAGATCGCGCTTAACTGTAAAGTGTATGATATATTAATTATTTTGAAAATTAATCTCATAATAGTGTATAATATATTATGTTGAGATTTAATTGCATATATTTTTTTCCGTTTGTGTAATTTTATTTTTCTCCAACAGCTCATATACCTATAGGATTTTACATATTTTCTCCAACAATTTATATGCATATAGAATGGTGCATAAAACAAATTCATAATTAAAAAGGAGTTTAAATAATAAATCAGCTCCATAGTGAATTCCAAGTGATCGAGGGCTTTGTGCGTTCCGTTTAAACCTTATGTAAGTAATGACGCACATCCGAGTGAACGAGTGAAAGCCATAAAAATTTGGAATGCAGAATGCAAATTTGGGATGCAGAACAAGTGTTGAGGTCTGTGTGAGTTCCATAAACATCCCTTGTCTTGACTGTTTATGTGATGTTATGGTTTGTTTAAGACAATAATCCCTTTACTGTCCATACACATGTATATTTAAGATTAAGCACAGACTACTGCATAATTAAAATACAGCTTGCTTAGAAGTTCCCCCAGAATTTGCCCAGTGTGACTTGCTGTTATTATAGTGTTATTATTTTTACATTTAATAATTATTGTTATTAATGCTGTTATTACTCAGTATTTCAATTAATTAGATGTACAGTAGGCTAAATTTCAGACATCTTCGCTTTCATTAAAACCTATATATAGTTGAGTGAAATCATTACATTTGCATTCATATGTGTATACTATGACATTTTTTTAGTTAAAATATGGGCAAATATGTAAATATTTGTATGCCTGTATATATATGTCATAGAATAATTTTACCTCTCAGATATGTATTCTGCTTTGTCTGACATCAGTTATTCAAATATTCAACTAAATTGTCAAAATTGTATTTAAATAGAATAGTTGATTTACTATTTTACATTAATGACACTTAAAAATAGATCAATATTAATAAGAATTATATCAAAAGTCATTTATACATTCTGTAAAAGTTTAGCTGTAGGGTCTTCTTGCACCAGGTAGGGGGTCAACTTACCCCAGAAGTGATAGCCTCTTTGAATCATTTTACATTTTGTTCTATAACAACTACTTAGAAAATGTGTCTATTTATTTCATAACAATACATTAGCATGGCATGGCTGATGCATCATCATGCTAAACTTATATCTAGCCTACATATGTTACAATTTAAAAGTAGATATAAATGCATATTGACCACTCTCTCACGTTACTCTCTATAAATATATAGACTTTATCCATTCATTTTAAATGTGCATATATTTTTTATAGCCACTGTAAATACAACTGCCTGTGTATAGATCTAAAAGATCAATTCTACGCCGTTAAAAGAGTTGAACATCGTCGTGTGATTCGATATATCTCACTCGTTACTCTCAAACCATGCTGTTTGTGTCAAGGAATAGCAGCTTGCGTTACCGCATTCGGGAAACCGCACTCATTCCATGGCTCTCACATGCTGGAAATATTCGGCAAGTTATAACCCGTAGAAGAAGCTGTCATCTCCAAAAATGATTAGCCTGACATTATCAAATATGTGGACATTAACACACCGCTTTGGACAAACCTACGAGAAAAATAGTATAAAACTGAGATAGCCTAAATCAAGAAGCAGCAACAACAACAACAACAGCAACTGAATAAAAGAGGAGGTGGTGGTGTGACGTCACTCCAAACGGAGATTGAGTTCAAGTACACTTTGCTGAAAAAATAAATAAATAAGAGTAGCCTACACTTGGCTCACTTCTCAGATGCCCTCAGTAATAAAAAAATAAAAAAATACAATAAAAGTGTATAATTTGTTTGTATTAGCCTATAGCCTATACAATCTGTTGTTTTCTAAAAAAAAATCTATTTCTTTTTGTGTTGAGCCTTACTTTTTTTCTTTATATTGACTGTTTTATGCCATTTTGTTGGATTCAGATTTTGTATTCAATAATAATTTTTTTTTTTTTAAGTACACCTGCATGGCTGCAGCATGCAGATCGGGGCGGGGCTGCACGTGTCACCCCGCCCCACACTTACTCTGATTGGCTCATTCATCTTTAATAGGCATAATATGTTCTTAGTTGATAGGTCAGAGTAATGCATGGATTGATGAGCGAATGTCATCAATCCAGTTACAAAACTGTAAAAGAGAGGTGTCTAATGCCACACAAATAAGATTCTGGACTGAGCACACTTATTCTGAGAATCTGAGACAATTTCAGGTGTGTTTGCCAATTTAACTAAAAACAGACTCCAGGCGTGTTATTTCAGAATCATGGCAGGTAGGGTATAAAAGTTCTCGTTTTCGTCACTTTAAAATAATGAGGAACAGATTGTTTTCCTGAAATAAAGTGTAGCAAAAAGTCTGATATATTATGCTTTGCAATGAAGAAAATGAAACATTCCAAGAAAATGAAAGCTTACACATATGAAGTAAAATACATACAAATAACACGGCAGACACATTGCTGTGTCATTTAGTTATCATACAACTGCATGACCAAAAACACCTTCTGTAAGTGTCTTGTCATGTTACTGATTCATTTCCTCTCTCATACTATACTATACTATGAAATAATCAAAATATCATAAGTCATTTAATTCATAATGCATTCCTCTACCTGAAGACCTGACCCTCCTGCAATGGATAATAAACCTTTATATATATATATATATATATATATATATATATATATATTGGGGTCGTTCGTGCGTTAGCCTAAAAACCAGCTTAATTTAGCAAAACAGTCATTTCAGGCACATTGCAAATAACAGGCTAATTATTTTTCCCCTTCTGTGCATTATAATGAAGGCCTTGTGAAACTGCACAGTTTTAGTTTTTTAAATGACATATAATACTCCTTCCTGCACCAACTACAAACACATTTTCTATCATGTATCCCTATGAAAGACGATGGAACCAATCAGACTATGTATGGGGCGGGGTGATACGTGCACCCCCGCCCCAAGTGCAGCCCCGCCCCGATCTGCAGGCTGCAGCCAGGACCTTCTCAATGATTTTCCCGACAACAAACAAGAGAGATTATTGCAGTTTTGCTCTCTCGCGAGTCACAGGTGTGAGCTATTTTCTTTATAGTTTTGTGGAAGCCATTTATTAGGCAACACTAGGTAAGCATCACGCTTTAATCTTATTGTGAAATGCAACTTTTAGGAGTCATTAAATATATTTTTTGAATCTCTTTAAATCTCAAATGTATGAATATTTTACAATCATTTGAGCACCTTTTTATAGTTATCAACTGAGATGTCTGTTACAACAGAGATCAATGCAAAACTTAAATTATGTGTTGGTCTATCGTTTGCATTGTTCAGCCTAACCGTTTAGGTCTATATGTTTTAAAAGTAAATGGTCTATTGTGCTTTTATATGACGAATAAATCATTTTGCAGGCAGCTAAGCTAGAAATAATTGTTTCATGAATAACAGTTTTAAGTTTTTTTTCATATAATATTACACAATTTAATTTTGCTCATATTCTTAAAGGAAAACTGTTATGCAAAAATGACACTCCTTTGATGTCTGTTATACTGGCCGAAGAATGAGCTAATTTACAAAAAAATAAATAATATAGCCTATATTGACCTTTTTGAATGAGCTCAGTTTAATTCTGTAAAGACAGATGTCACATCTTCACCGTACAACACTAAAATGCAGGCATATTTTAATATACTTTGGATTTTTATTGATGGCGAATTCCCATGTAAAATGTTACATCTGAGAAGGCAGAATAGAGAAAGTGCTTTCAGATGATGTTCTGAATGACATTACTTTACTACTCAAATTCTGGCCTCCAGTGGACAAAAGCAGAATTACATGTTAGTTGTATATTCCTTTTACTAGATGCGGTCTATCTATATCTGATGGCTTATAATTATTTACTAAATACCATATTCATTCTGTCAATCCAGGTTTGAAGGTACAATGATGGATCAATCCAATTTTACAGTGAGCCCACTCGATTTCAACTTATCTGAGGATGAATATGATGATGATTATGAGGATACGCCGCTTGCAAAATCTCTTAACATCATGTCACTCATAGTCTACAGTCTGGCTTTTGTACTTGGAGTGGTGGGAAACGGCATTGTAATTTGGGTAACTGGATTAAAAATGAAAAGGACAGTCAACACGGTCTGGTTTTTGAACCTTGCTGTGGCAGATTTCCTCTTCACTGCCTTCCTCCCACTCAGCGTGGCTTATACGGCTATGGGCTTCCACTGGCCTTTTGGCCAGTTCATGTGTAAATTCAACAGCACTCTCAGTTTCCTCAACATGTTTGCCAGTGTGTACATCCTGGTCGTGATCAGTGTTGACCGCTGTGTATCTGTGGTGCGTCCGATCTGGGCACAGAATCATCGGAATGTGAGACGTGCTTCTGCGGTGAGCTTTGGAGTTTGGTTATTCGCCCTGCTGTTGAGCTCACCCTACTTCGTCTTCAAGGACACTGCACCCGACCACGACAGCCCAGACAAAATCAACTGCTTCAACAACTTTGCATTTTCTGATGACTATGTGAAACCAGAGGTAGTGGCGCTCCGTACTCTACGACATAGAGCCATGATCATAACCCGTTTCCTCATAGGCTTTGTGCTGCCTTTTGTGATCATCGTTTCCTGCTATGCGGTCATCATCCATCGTCTCAGAAGAAACCGCTCAATGTCTGGCCGAACTGGACGTCCCTTCAAGATCATTGCTGCTGTGATCGCTGCCTTCTTCCTGTGCTGGGCTCCGTACCATATCCTGGTGCTGATTGAGATGGTACACCACATGAGAGCTGAATTCAACTCCAGCCTGCAATATGTCACCACTGTTGGAATTCCCATTGCGACCAGTTTGGCTTTCCTAAACAGCTGCCTGAACCCATTGTTGTATGTTTTCATGGGACAAGACTTTAAAGACAAGGTGCGCAAGTCAATCCTGAAGGTTTTGGAAACCGCTTTCACAGAGGAAGTTTCACGCACAAATACCTGCACAAATTCAATGCCCACCATTCGTAATAAAGAGAACGGGAGCAAGTCCTTCTCTGATGCGGAAGTATAACCGTATAACATGAAGCACTTTTTCTAAAGGAGGACTTTACAGAGTGTCTCATGTGGATTTAGCGTCATCATAAATTATGAGACACATTAACCTGAAGAAACTGGACCAAAAGAAATTCAGTTAGTTTGAAGCTTTAAATTAATAAAACACTGCCTTAATTGCTGTTATGGGGAAATAATTATTTAATGCAGAATTGTTATTTACATTTGTGTGTGTACCTACTTAACCATATTTTGGAGACAAATTTGTACCCAGACGTGCGTTAAATCTGACAGAAACTCCCAAAACCTCCTTTTAAATACAATAGGTTTCCAGCATGAAGTATACCCATGAAGTATTTGACACACATAAATTGAACTTGGTATTGTATGCCATATATGAGCAATTTAAAAAGTTTTTCATGAATTATGCATGTGATGCAAGTAGCTTTTTTGTTATTTCTTTACTGTATTGTTGCACATATTTTTATAAAGCATCTTTTATTTCATATTAAAAAATAGTATTAAGTTTATCGATGTATTTCAAAGATTAAATAAAGCTGAAGATGAATAAACTTACAAATTAAGCTTACACTGTCTACGAAGTTCTGGATCTCCATAACATGACAATATAATATATGCACTCTTAAGAAATATGGTTCTAAACAGTACCAAATTAGGGTTCTTCGGCTTGTAACAATAGCAGAACCCTTTTTGGTGCTAAATAGAACCCTTTTTATAAGGTTCCATAAGAACCGTGCTTTGAAAGTGCTATACATACGACCTTAATGGTGGTGTAAATAACCTTTCAACAATATTTTCATGAAATTAGTATATTAGTATCTTCATATTATTAATACTACTAACAGTCATGTGATCACTTCAGTATTTTCCTTCCTACCCGATCACGCATGGTGATTGTCTAGGCTGGAAACAGGCAAATGCAGAATTTATAGAGAAAGAACTGATTTTGAGGTCAGAAAGTAAAAGTTTTGACCTACTATATTTTGTTTAGTATCTTTACTATTGCAGATGCAATTGTAGGACTTATATTAGATTAAATAGTTTCTTAGGCAATATGTGATGCATTTTCCCCCTGCTAATTTCAAACCACTATGCTAAAACTGCTAGCTAAACATTGGCTGACAGGGATGAGGAGGGTTGTAACACTTATTTAAAAAGTGTCACAACCATCCCCTTACATAGCTACTAAGAATATAACTAGAATTTTCTTGATTTTAATGTTTTTACAGAATGACTAGGGCATGAAAAAGAAAGACTGACAGAGGTGTCTCTGCCAGTGGTTTAAATAAAGTGGTTTGCATGGAGCAATTTAACGACTCAAAGCCAAAGGAGGTTTGGGTAAAATGCGCCCTATGCCGTTTCTGGGGCCATCAAGCCTGCACTCGGCTATCAGCATCATTCATCTGTCAGCACTGTGACTCTGATTAAGAATATACACACATAGACACACACTCACACGCACATTGACATGTTATTTTTTGTTATACTTAAACGATGTACAAAGATGTTCTTTAATCTGGTACATTGAAGTAGTGTTTATTAACCTCCTAGGGCTTAGTGGCCACATACGTGGACAGCACATTTTTGCTCTTATGTCCACAATTGTGTTCACTGCTGAATGGGTGGTGTTATGGACACGTATGGGGGTACTTATACTGCCATCTGGTAGTGTCAGAAATTTATAACACACTATGGTCAAAATTCAAAATGGCGGCAAACACAAGGAAAGATTCAAGTGGTAGCTCCATACACAAACGTCGACCAGTTAAGAAGTTCTGTCATATTTCATGGCTTATTCTGATTAAGATATTTATAAAAGCCTTGTATATTTGTCATGACTTGCAAATTTGAAAAAAAAAGTACAAAACTACCAACTTGAAGTACACTAAACATGAAGTACACGTATGTGTACTTATGGACTGAAGCTCCTCGAAACAGCTAATATGCTAGTAAACATGCACACACATAAAATGGGAAAAAAGCTAGCTCTGATGCAGCTAAAAAGGTGCACATGGTCCCAATGACATAAATAACAATTAAATCACTAAATACATACGTACATACTTAAATTAGTTGGGTTGAAAATGTTAGTAAAAATGTAATATGCTAGTAAAAATGTGCACATGTAAATTAGCTTGTATATTATCCCATTGGAATAAATAACAAATAAATAATGCAAACCTACATAAATTAAATTATTTTGTATTTGATTTTATCATGTTTTTATTTCCAGAGCGTTTTTCTGTGCAAAGAGCATTGGAGCTACTTTGGGTTAATTGATGGAGATAACACAGATTTGGATGTGTCTGATAACGATGATCCCTTAGAGATGTCTTATTGATCACAAGTTCAGTATGGTGTACCACAAGGCAGAAGGCTCAGTACTAGGACCGTTGCTGTTCACTCTATACATGCTCCCCTTGGGAGATATCATTAGGAAGCATGGCATTAGTTTTCACTGTTATGCTGATGATACTCAGCTCTATATTTCTTCACGCCCCGACGAAACTTGCCAATACAAAAAAAACTAATGCATTGCTGATATAAAAACTGGATGACTAGCAATTACCAACTTTAAAACTAAAAAATCTAAATTACGTCATGTGCTTTCAATGAAAAATGTGGAACAGTTAGTTCATTACATCAAGGCTAGATCATTGTAATGCTCTACTGGGTGGTTGCCCTGCACGCTTAATAAACAAACCTCAGCTGGTTCAAAACGCAGCCACTAGAGTTCTTACCAGAACCAGGAAGTATGACCATATTGCCCGGTTATGTCAACATTGCATTGGCTCCCTATTAACCATCGTATACATTTTTAAATATTGCAATGTTTCCATGTTGTTTTTACTCTCTGATAGTCAAAACATGTTAAAAAATATGTGTGTATGTGTTATTAATACATTAAAAAACAGTCAGGAAAAAAACTGCTGTGTTCAAGGCAGAAATAAAGGGTTTTTCATTCTATTACACAAAGGTGACTTTATTGTGTTTTATGGAAATTCGGACCATGAGTCCACATATGTGGACATCATTTTTCTCTAAAAGTACATCATATCAAAAGATGATTCTTAGTTTTTATTATAATTAGGTTCCAATAAGCCCAAATAGCAAAGAGAATTAAAAAATGCATGTAAAAAATCAGCTTGGGCCTTAAGAGGTTAAGTAAACCGTTAAGTATACGTTTGTCTAGATTAATTTACACACACAGACATGTTTTTTTTTGTTAGACCTAAAGATCTATACAAAGATGTTATTTAATTAGATACATTGTAGTAGCCTATGTGTTATTATTTGGTGTACTGTTAAGAAAGTTTGTTCTAGTTGACAAATTTAAACACACACAAACGAGCCAGACTGTTATTATAGTCTGTTATTGAGAGAGAGACATTGTTCTCATATGGTATGGCAGCATGTGTTACAACTTACCCCGGTAGTGGGATAGATGGTTGTAACAAAGGAACACCATGTATTTTTACATCAACTCACAAGGTCTCTGATATTCTTGTAGAGGGCTGAATTCATTCCATTTAACAAATGTGGGTACTTTGTAAAAAGTTTGAGAATTCAAGCTAAAAAATTCAGTGAATTATAGCTGAAGCAAAATGTGTTTATTTTTTATTGACACGGCAGATTGTAGCAAAAATAACAGTGCTCTAACAACAGTTGTTAGCTGAATACATAAATATAGCAAAGTATGTTGTTGTGGAAAGAAAGAGGTGGGAACTGGCAAATGTGTAACACACTTTAATAATCATAAAATAAACAAATACAAAACGTAAGAAGGCGGCAGCCCCTCACTGACGACGGAAGACTGCCACCACATATAAAAACATAACAAATAGTCCAGGCCAGTTGCCCGTTCTTCGTATGTCGCTATTAGCTGGATTTGATTGTTGGCGATTTGGCATGATCATGGATTGTTTGGTTCTTCGACGCTCATCCTGGACTTGCTGTCATATAGCAACAGGTGCGCAAACTTGAACCTGCTCGCGAGCAGGCTTATTTTATGTTAACAGGATTAGATCGCGGCTTTATAAGGGGAGCTGATACGGGAAGTCTTTTAGCGCAGCGCGATAGTGTACTTTTTTGAGAGAAATCATTTTCATGAGGATGTCGTTTACATCATTGATTTGTTGGAAACGCATAAATGTTCGACTCGTCGGAGTCGAGCTTTAATAACAGTGCAGGCAAGTTACTATTGCGATTCTTATCCAGATATTAGGCTATCAAATTTTAAAAAGGCAGTTGGCTGACTAAAATCTCTTAGATGGTGTGTGACGTTCCATATCACAAATATGGCCAGGATCTGTCTCAAGAATTTTCAGAGATGCACATTATTTGAACGTGGTAAGGAAAAATATAAATATCAAGCTCACTGTAGCCTACATACACTTATGCTTATCCTAACAGCACTGAATTTTTCCATTAAACAGGTGATTACAATAGGATCCTGCTTGGAGATAGGTGTTCCCTTTCAAGGCGGTCACTTCGACATTACATCATACTGACGTATATGGGAACTCCTCCCTTCTCCATTTTCACTGAAATCTTATAGGATAACGCCAGCTGGAGACAGCTGGCCAATTGACGCAAAACATGCAAATGCTGACCGGTCCGCGGGCAGTATAAAATAGCATGGGCGCGACAATTACGTCAGAATCTCTTTCTTCACGCTAGAAGTCTTATCTGAAGTCATCGTGGAAGTTGCAATAGAGGTTACTCACCATGTTTCCTCCCCGCATCCGATGGCTGCTACATGCCAGATATGTGCGGTATTGACTCGCTCTACCCAAACAAGGATCTACCGAGGCCGCACTCACGGACGACTGGCATACGTGCTGGTCTACCAGTGCGCGCCCTCATAAACTCCGGGCATCAGCAGGAATGAAGCCCACTGCCGCCAGCGGCTGCTGGTGGGCCCTCTAACGCCCAAAGAAGAGTTGACAGTCGTTCTCCCCTGTGGCCCAGTGGCGGAACCTGAAGCCTTCGCGCGAGAGACCCGTGTTCGATCCCGGCTCTCGCAGCAGATACATTTTTAACCTGCCCGTCGCCTCTCCGGTCCTTTTCGCGGGCTCGCTAGACGGACTCGACGCGATAGGCTTCGTCGGAAGGATACTTTTATTATTTTACTTAGCCCGGTATCTAACAGCCAGGCTACTTCAAGAAAGATTCCGTCTTCACGACGTCCTATGGTAAGTCATGCGAAGACGCATCCAGAGAGACGAGGCAAGGCGATGGCTCTGTGTCTAAAGGCGCGAAAGTGGTTGTTTCCCCCTGTGGCTCAGTGGCGAACCCCAAAGCCGTCGCACGGGAGACCCGTGTTCGATCCCAGCTCTCACAGCAGATAAAATTTAGTCGCGCCGCGGCCAGACATTAAACCGAAACTTTTGATCTCTATACGTCCAGCCTTCCTCGATGTCTCTCTTCGTCGGCACCTCGTCCCGCCTAATTCGGCTACAGCCG